TTCGTTAATTATTATTGTTGTTAATATTATCAGGTTTTTGCTGTTTTTTCAACTTTCCTTCCTTTCTTATATTTTATTTTTTATTGTTTTTTTCATTTTCTGAACCTGAAATTACCTTTTGATAATCCAGTTTGTGTAGAGAGATAGAGCACCAGATTAGGAGTTAGGGAACTCCTCCTTTCTTTTCATTTTAACTTTAGTCCTTCATTGTTAAAATGAAAGAATTAGACTCAGTGATTTTTAAGTTTTCTTCTAGCTCTTAAAGTTAATTCTAACATATCTTACATAAACACTTGTAAAGATGTAGGAAAATATAATCTATTCACTAGTACTTACTGAGCACTGTCTGTGAGCTCACCCCTGTGCTGGGCTGACCTAGGTTGATTTTACCTATGTTTACATTGGGTGGGAGGAGAGAATTATAAGGGATAGTTTTTTTTTCTTTGAAGAAAATGAATAGCCCAAAGACAAAAACAACGTAAGACAGCTTGAAGCAAGTTGATTGTCAAAATCACAAAAGTGGTTGACTTGTACAATTTGTTAGTGAAGAAAAACGTTACCCTCTTAGGTTCGTTGTATGGGGGCCTATGAATTAAACTGTGAAAAAGATTAGCAAGAGAGAAGATAGATTTTTATTTATGAATGTACATGTGAGTTCACAAAAAAATGTGACTCTCCAAACAGGTGAAAATGGGGTTCATACACCTAATTTAATGGGAATAGGTAGAGGGGAAAAAAGTCTTTGATGGCTAATTTTTGTCTTTTTTTAATACTTTAAGTTCTGGGATACATGTGCAGAACATGTAGGTTTGTTACATGGCACATACATGTGCCATGGTGGTTTGCTGCACCCGACAACCCATCATCTATATTAGGTATTTCTCCAAATGCCATTCTTCCCCTAGCTCCCCACCCCCAACAGGCCCTGATGTGTAATGTTTTCCTCTTTGTGTCCATGTGTTCTCATTGTTCAACTCCCACTTATGAGGGAGAACATGCTGTGTGTGTTTTTCTGTTCCTGTGTTAGTTTGCTGAGGATGATAGTTTCCAGCTTCATCCATGTCCCTGCAAAGGGCATAAACTCTTCCTTTTTTAATGGTTACATCGTATTCCATAGTTTATCTAGTCTGTCATTTGGGTTGCTTCCAAGTCTTTGCTATTGTGAACAATGCCGCAATAAACATACATGTGCATGTGTCTTCTTAGTAGAATGATTTATAATCCTTTGAGTATATATCCAGTAATGGGATTGGTGGGTCATATGGTATTTCTGGTTCTAGATCCTTGAGGAATCCCCACACTGTCTTCCACATTGGTTGAACTTACACTCTTACCAACAGTGTAAAAGCATTCCTATTTCTCTACATCCTCTCCACCATCTGTTGTTTTCTGACTTTTTAATGATCACCATTCTCACTGGCTTGAGATGGTATCTCATTGTGGTTTTGATTTGCATTTCTCTAATGACCAGTGATGATGAACTTTTGTTGGCCACACAAATGTCTTTTTGAGAAGTGTCTGTTCATATCCTTTGCCTACTTTTTGATGGGGTTGGTTGTTTTTTTCTTGTAAATTTGTTTAAGTTCTTTGTAGGTTCTGGATATTAGCCCTTTGTCTGATGGGTAGATTGGAAAAATTCTCTCCCATTCTGTAGGTTGTCTGTTCACTCTGATGATGGTTTCTTTTGCTGTGCAGAAGCTCTTTAGTTTAATTAGATCCCATTTGTCAATTTTGGCTTTTGTTGCCATTTATTTTGGTGTTTTAGTCATGAAGTCTTTGCCCATGCCTATATCCTGAATGGTATTGGCTAGGTTTTCTGCAAGGGTGTTTATTGTTTTAGGTCTTATGTTTAATTCTTTAATCTATCTTGAGTTAATTTTTGTTTAAGGTGTAAAGAAGGGGTCCAGTTTCTGTTTTTTGCATATGGCTAGCCAGTTTTCCCAACACCATTTATTAAATAGAGAATCTTTTCCCCATTGCTAGTTGTTCTCAGTTTTGTCAAAGATCAGATGGTTGAAGATGTGTGGCGTTGTTTCTGAGGCCTCTGTTTGTTCCATTGGTCTATATATCTGTTTTGGTACCAGTATCGTGCTGTTTTGGTTACTGTAGCCTTGTAGTATATTTTGAAGTCAGGTAGCGTGATGCCTCCGGCTTTGTTCTTTTTGCTTAGGATTATCATGGCTATGCAGGCCCTTTTATGATTCCATATGAAATTTAAAGTAGTTTTTTCTAAATCTGTGAAGAAAGTCAGTGGTAGCTTGATGGGGATAGCATTGAATCTATAAATTACTTTGGGTAGTGTGGCCATTTTCATGATAATTGATTCTTCCTATCCATGAGCCTGGAATGTTTTTTCATTTAGAACAAATGGCTTTCTAGGGGAACATGGGAGATAAGAAAGTTTATAATGATGTTTGTTTATGCAGATGTGAGTGGTCTTCTCTGTCTTTTTTCCAGTGAATCTCCCGTGAAAGGGGATGTCTGGCCGCCTTAACTCCCAGAAGTTTCTGTCTTCAGTCAGCTAAGAAAGGTCCAAAAAGTCTTTGGTCTTTATTCATTTAATCTCAGATGTCTTTTTAGTTTAAAATAATCTTCGTAGTACCTCTGGAAGTCTAAGTGGTCCCCACAAATTTATATATTGTTTCTTAAGCATCTAGTAATGCCACCTGACTTACATAAAAACACTTTTGTGTTTTGCCATTGCTCTTAGTTTGAGTATGGAATTCCTTAACATTACCAGCAAGACCTTGCATGATCTATTGCCTATTCTCATCTTTTTTTGTTGTTTTTTTGAATTCAAGTTCTGGGATACATGTGCAGAATGTGCACGTTTATTACATAAGTATACATGTGCCACGGTTGTTTGCTGTACCTATCATCCCGTCATGCATTAGGTATTTGTGCTAATGGTCTCCCTCCCCTTGCCCTTCACCCTCCAACAGGTCCTGGTGTGTGATATTCCCCTCCCTGTGTCCATGTGTTCTCATTTTTCAACTCCCACTTATAAATGAGAACATGAGATTTTTGGTTTTCCATTCCTGTTTAGTTTACTGAGAGTGATGGCTTCCAGCTTCATCCATGTCCTTGCAAAGGACATATACTGATACTTTTTTATGGCTGCATAGTATTCCATGGTGTGTATGTGCCACATTTTTTTTATAAACCACTTTCTTCCTTGATCTCTGTAAGTGAGGTGTATTGGCCATCCTTTAGTCCCTTAAATTTATTACAGTTGCCCCTTGAACAAATAGGCTTGAGCTACATGGGTCCGCTTACATACAGATATTTTTCAGTCAAATGCAGATGGAAAATACAGTATTCATGGCATGCAAAACACAAGTATATGGAAGGTTGACATTTTCTATGCTCTGGTTCTCCAGAAGTGAGTGCAGGAATTGAGTATGTGGGGATTTTGATATCTGAGGGAGTCTTCAAACCAGATCCCCAGTAGTATGGAGGAACGACTGTGTATGCTGTGTGCTATTGGGCCTTTGAGCATTTTATCATCTCCCTCTTGCCTCTTGGTCTAGTTAACTTGTGATCTTTTAGAATGCTTTTTGCCATTTCTACTACTACAACACTTGTCAGGGTCAATATTATTTCCTATTGGATGATAGCCACATAATCGGTTATTGTTTCTATTCTTTTCTTTCTAAAGTTACTCCACGTGGCAGTCAGAGTGATAATTCTAAAATATAAAACATGATATCCCTTTTCTACATTGTATATGAGATCCACAGGACTGTTTCCTTTTCATCATTTACATCTCAGCTCAAAAATCAGCTTCTTTTTAATGCATTCCTTGATAACCTCAATTAAAGTAGCAGGTGATTATAAAGAAGAGTATCTCTGACAAAATGTGGCACATTGTCTACATAGAGACAATTTTTTTTTTCTTTTTTAAAACTCTACTGAATCTTTGTATATTCTGTCTACTCTTAATAGAATCTTTGTGTTTTAATTCTTGATTATAATTCTATATTTTTAAAAAGTGTTTAGAAAGTATTTTATATATATGTAGAAAATGTATACATATGTTTTCTAAGTGTATAGTTTAATGAATTTGCACAAACTGAACTCACCCAGAACAAAAACAATACCCTGGAAGCCCCTCTTGTGCCCCCTTCCAGCCACTGCTTCTTTTCCCTATAGGGATAACCAACTACTCTTCTGACTTAACACATTAAATTAGTTTTGGCTGTTTTATATTTGATGTAAATGAAAACATATAATGTGTATGTAGCTTCTTTTGCATAAGAGTTTATGTTTGAGTATGTAGTTATTGTTCATTCATTCTTACTCATCTCTGGTTACACAGCTTGAAATGTAAGATGTACCTAAAGGACCATGACTATTATCTTTAATCCCCGGGATTCATTTTGTCCTAGATAAGTCTTGAAATCAGATTGTATGAGTCCTCCAACTTTGTTCTTCAGTATTATGTTGGCCATTCTAAGTCTTTTGCCTTTCCAAATTATAGTACCTTCCTTTTTCCATGTAAATTGTGTAATTGCTTGTTGAGTTTTACAAGCAAGCATACTCGAATTTACATTGGGATTTGTTATATCTGTAAATCTGTTCAGAGGAATCGGCATCTTAACAATATTGTTATAGTTCTTGAACATGGTGTATCTCTCCATCTGTGTAGAATTTCTTTAATAAGTATTTTATAAATTTTAGCAAACAGAACTTACCCATATTCTGGTAGATTTGTACTTAAGTATTTTATGGGGTTGTTTTTTTTTTTGGTATGGTATTTGGAATATAAGTTTCATGTTTTGTTCTCTGCCCTATCTTCAGTCTGTAAGATACAGCGCAAAGTCTTTATTGAATGAGTATCTGTCTGCTGTCAAAGAGTTCATACTCTAGGAGCTGAGAAAGAAGTGCACAATTAAAAGATGATACAATTTGACGGAACTATTAAAAAAAAATTCTGTGGGAGCTCCAGGTGGGAGCAATAAAGTTCATGTAACAGATTTCTTTTTCTTTTTTTCTTTCAGATTTGAAAGAAGATAAACCTAGGACAAGGTTGTTTAATGATGCAGAAAACAAGAAGAATTCAATTAAAATGTGGTTTAGCCCTCGAAGTAAGAAAGTCAGATATGTTGTGAGTAAAGTTTCAGTGCAGACCCAACCTGAAATAAAAAAAGATGTAAATGCTCAGCAAGACTCACTGTATGAATTTGTTTCCACAACTCCTCCTGCAGATGTTTCTGAGAAGGCTAAAAAGCCTTCTGCAAGATCTCTAAAAAAGCAAAAAAAGAAAACTTTAGCTGAAATCAACCAAAAATGGAATTTACAGGCAGAAAAAGAAGATGGCAAATTTGACTCCAAAGAGGAATCGAAGCAAAAGCTGGTATCCTTCTGTAGCCAACCATCCGTTATCACCAGCCCTGAGATAAATGGTGAAATAGACTTACTAGCAAGTGGCTCCTTGACAGAATCTGAATGTTTTGGAAGTCTAACTGAAGTCTCTTTACCGTTGGCTGAGCAAATAGACTCTCCAGACACTAACAGCAGGAATGAAGTAGTGACTCCTGAAAAGGTCTGCAAAGATTATCTTACATGTAAGAAATCTTTGCCATTAGAAAATAATGGAAAACGTGGTCAAGACAATAGACTTTCCATTCCCGTTTCTAAGAGATGTAGAAGCAGCAATCTGAACACCAGTGGAGATTTTGTTAAGCAAATGGTGCCCTCAGAAAATATTCCATTGCCTCAAAGTTCTCCAGACATTAAGAGCAAGAATGAAGTAGTGACTCCTGAGAAGGTCTGCAAAAATTATCTTACATCTAAGAAATCTTTGCCATTAGAAAATAATGGAAAATGTGGCCAACATAATAGACGTTCCAGTCCCATTTCTAAGAGATGTAGAAGCAGCATTCTGAGCACCAGTGGAGATTTTGTTAAGCAAATGGTGCCCTCAGAAAATATTCCATTACCTGAAAGTTCTTCGCCACCTTCACGCAAACGTAAAGTTCATGGTACATCGGGGAGGAAAAACAGTAATATGTCAGATGAATTCATTAGTCTTTCACCAGGTACACCACCTTCTACATTAAATAGTTCAAGGTACAGACAAGTGACATCTAGCCCCTCAGCAATGAAGCTGTTACCCAATATGGCTGTGAAAAGAAATCATAGAGGAGAGACTTTGCTCCATATTGCTTCTATTAAGGTAGGATGCTTACTCTGAAATACCATCTCAGAATGAGGCCAACTATAAAGCAGTTTCTTTGCAGTTTATGAAAGAGGGCGTAAGATTGCTAGGATAATTAACCTTTCACAGGCATGATACTTCCTCTGAACCAGAGAAGCAAAATTCACAGGGACAGCATTTCTACTTTAGTTGGAGCAGTGGCCCCTGAGTCTGGACAGCATGATTTTGTAGGAAAAAAACGATATTTGAATATTTCAGCTTCTACTTTGCCAAGTGCTTTTGCTTGCGTCTATTTTATCTTCAGTTTTTATCATTTGTTTACCTGGTCTCATGCTTTATGAATGTAGACAATTGCTAAGTTATTACAGGCAACAATGTTTACTTAGTAAAAGAGCCCACTAAAATTTGGAAGGTTGAAAGATGTGTTCTGTACATTTCTCTAGTGACCTGGACATTTGACTATTAGAAATGGCTACTCTGTTTAAAAAAAAAAAAAGAAAAAGAAAAAAGGCCAGGCATAGTGGCTTACACCTGTAATCCAAGCACTTTAGAGGCAAAGGCGGGCAGATCACCTGAGGTCGGGAGCTCAAGACCAGCCTGACCAACGTGGTGAAACCCCATCTTTTTAAAAAAAAAAAAAAAAGAAAAGAAATGGCTACTCTGGTTCACCACACAGGAGCTGTTTTTTGCCCTACAATCAGCCATTTCTTTTTATTGACCCATTCATTGACATTAATTCTCTTTAATTATTGCCTCAACACCTGGGATGTGGCAGCGTTTTTTGGAACCTGGCCTGTTTTCTGAACACTTGGCAGTAGTTAATCTTTGGAATTGACATAAATACTACAAATTAAACAGAGCAGTAAGCACCATAGCTTTATAGGCTTTGCTTTGTGATTTCATGCAAGTTTTAGGAAAGTGTGATATGGTAGACTCCTTAGTACTAAATTACGATAGCTTTCATGCTCTCTCAGTGACTTTACATAGTAAATTCACCCAGGAAATCCTTTGGTCTTCTGGATGGGTAGAGAACTTTGGGATGTCTGGGAGGAACCACCTGGAGGCCCACAAATATAAGACTGGTGGGCAACATTAAACATTTGGGAAGAACATGGAGTAGGAGTAGACATTGAGTATGGTCTCGAGATTTCTGTATTTCTGTCTGGAGAAAGAGCATAGTACAAAATGAGCTTATCATAACTGCTGCTGGTTCATTTTTCTTGCTTTTCTTCCAGATTAATGAGAAATACAGTCAGCTCTGTGTATCTGTGTGTTCTGTGTTTATGGAGTCAACCAACTCCAGATCAAAAATATTTGGGGAAAAACCAGTAACAATATGTAATAAAAAGTAATGCAAATTTTAAAATATCATGTAATTATTTACATAGCATTTGTATGATATTACTTATATAAGTAATAGAGAGGTGATTTAAAGTATACTGGAGGGTCTGTGTAGGTTATTTGCAAATACATCATCTTATGTGAGGAATCTGGATTTTCGTATCTGCTGGGATTCTGGAACCAATTCCTTACAGATACTGAGGCATGACTGTACTCTATTTCTGATACCAGTGAGGCAGGGACCTTACAACATGACCACATGTCCTTGGGACAACTTGAATTTTTGAACTTGTCTCTGGTTGTGTTTTAGTTTGATTTCTCGAAAACTTGACTTGCAAAATAAGACTTTTTTTGTCGTCTTTGTTATATATATGCATATTATACATACATATAAGCTATTCTAATCTTAACAAAGTTATTAATGCTTCGTAGACGTAAGTAGCTAATGTAATTATTTTTGTTCATTTTTCTGACTAATATATAATACTTTATATATTTTGCTTTCTGGGAATTTTCAGACCATCAGGTAAGCATTTACTTACATTGGTGGAGACTTTTTCTTCTAACTGTAAGAATAATTTATCTCTATTAATCAGGATCCCTAGGGTCTAGGCCAGAGTTTTGTAAATTCTTTCTTAAAGGGGCAGTTAGAGTAAATATTTTCAGCTTTGCAGGCCATGAAGTCTCTGTCATAGCTATTCAACTCTGCTGTCATAGTGCAAAAGTAGCCATAGACAATATGCAAACTAGTAATTTTTTACATACAAAATCGGGTGACTGGCTGACAGGCCATAGTTTGCCTACTCTTGGTCTAGGCATGGGAAGAAACCGTAATAGAATATTAAATCAGGAAAAAATGATAGCATACTCCTGTCTTGGTGAATTTTCTTTATTGATATGTTCGAGATTGCTTCATATGAGTTTTGTCAGTTTACTTAGAGTTTTGCCAGAATTAGAATAATCCATCTTTATTTCTTTGAACTTAATTATTAAATGCAATTATTGTCACTAGTTGTCAGATTATGTTATGGTACATTTTTAAAAAGTTAACTGATTTTTATTGTTTGTTAAATCACCAATTAATAGTGTCCTTTAAAATTTTTTTTGAGTTGAATATATGCCTCTTACCTTAGCTTTATTTTAATAGACAGATTCTTAAAATCAGTAGATTTGTTAGTATGTGTGTGTGTATGTATATATATATATATATATATATTTTTTTTTTTTTTTTTTTTTTTTTTTTTTTTTTTTTTTTTTTTTTTTTTTTTTTTCAATTATTCAATCTCTTTTTTCTTCAAGCTCTGCCTCCCAGGTTCAAGCAGTTCTCCTGCCTCAGACTCCCGAGAAGCTGAGATTACAGGCACCTGCCACCCCACCTAGCTAATTTTTATATTTTTAGTAGAGACGGGGTTTTGCCATGTTGGCCAGGCTGATCTCTAACTCCTGACCTCAGGTGATCTGCCCACCTCGGCCTCCCAAAGTGCTGGGATTATAGGCATGAGCCACCACATCCAGCCAGTCTTTTTAGATGAGATGTGAGGGTTGTTTCCAGGTTCTAGAGATTGTCACATTCCTTAGTTTGTGGTCCTCTTCTTCTTCTTTTTGTTTTTTCTCCACTGATAAGAAATGTCTCCTGCCAGAGGTCCTCTTCTTTATCTTCAAATCCAGCAGCAGCAGACTGAGCTCTTCACACATCTCATCTTTCTGACATAGCTAGGAAACACACTCTGCTTTTAAGGATTCACATGATTAAATTGGGCTGCCTAAGAAATGCAGAATAATCTCCCCATCTCACGGTGTGTACCCTTAATTACATTGCATTGTTCCTTTCACCATGTAAAGTAACATATTCACAGGTTCTGGGGATTATTAGTGTGGACATCATAACTTTTTGACCACACCACTGAAGTAGCTTTCCAATTTCTTGCACGAATTTCCCTTTGTATTTCCTGGAGTCAGTTCTGTATGTAACAGCCAGAGTTACATATGCAATCTGACTGAAGTCAAAATTGTCATTTCTCTGCTCTCCAATCAATAACTCGTTTTTCTATTCCTCTTCCTATTTGAATATCTTCTTAACTCATGTTCCTATTTGAATGTCTGCATCACCTGTGTTAAACTGCTATTGAAAACACTGTGTGATGAATGGGAGATTTTTATGAGAAAGCATTGTGCCTAAGTAGAAACTAAGATAAATACTCACCATTTATTCTTCTGACTTATTATCACAGTTACTCTTGCACCAACCCAAGAAAAAAACAAAATACTGAAGACATAGAGAAAATTTTCTATTTTCTCTTTGTCACCTTTGCTTGAGAATTTATACCATACTGACCTTCCCCTTTTCCTCTCCCACATCCCCCCACCAAGTTCTCTAGCACAAATTCTTAAAATGGCAATGATCACTCATAATTTAAGCCCCAGCAATGACTTACTGTGGAATAGAAGAATGGCTTGAAGATGGCATATCATGATGTATTAGTGATGTGGACATAGTGGGTAATGTTTTGAAGGCAACTTGCAAGCATAGTATGCTTAGAACAAAACAAAGGTGGTGAAGATCCCCTGGGCAGGGAGAAGATCCCTTGTGAAGAGTCTCATTCAGAGGTTAACTTTGTAGTTTATTATACTGTAATGCAGTCATGTTATATTGTGTGTGTAATTATGTATCCTTCGTGGTAGCTTCATGAGAAGGTAGCAAAGGACACAAAAGCAGGCTTGGCATATGTGATATTTTCAAGAGTTTAATCTCTAAACACCTCTTGGAGTCAGTATCTGTTTTTTCCCCTCTGTCATCCCCCACATATGTATAAGTCTGCTTTAGTAATACCAGTAACTTACTGTACCATTAACTAGGTTATCAGAATTATCTGTTAAATTACAGGCATACCTCCTTTAATTGCACTTCACTTTTTTTGTTCTTCGCAGGTACAGTTTTGTTTTTGTGTTTTTTGACAATCCTGCATTAAGCAAGCCTATCTGTGCTGGGTTTTTTTTTTTTTTTTTTTTTTTTTTTNATGTGCTCGGTATATCTCTGTGTCACGTTTTGGTAATTCTCACAATGTTTCAAATCTTTTCACTACTCTTGTATCTGTTATGGTGATCTGTGATCAGTCATGTTTGATGTTACTGTTGAAATTGCATTGGGGCACCACAAACCCTACCCATGTAACGCGGCAAACTTAATTGATAAATGTTGTCTTTTCTGACTTACTGGTAATTCTCCCATCTCTCTCCGTTTGAATCCCTATTCCCTGGGACACAACAATATTGAATTTAGGCCAAGTAACAACCCTACAATGGCCTCTAAGTTTTTAAGTGAAGAGTCGCTCATCTCTTCCTTTATATAAGAAGCTAGAAATGAAGAGTGAGGAAGGCATGTTGAAAGCTGAGATAGGCCAAAAGCTAGGCCTCTTGCCAAACAGCCAATTTGTGAATGCAAAGAAAACGTTCTTTAAGACAATTAAAAGTGCTACTCTGGTGAATACACAAATGAGATGAAAGCACACCCACCTTATTGCCGATATGAGGAGAGCTGGATGGTCTGGATAGATGATTGAACCAACCTCAGTATTTCCTTAAGCCAAATCTTACTCCAGAGCAAGATCCTAAATCTCTTCAATTCTGTGAACGCAGAGAGAGATGAGAAAGCTATAGAAGAAAAGTTGGAAGCTAGC